GGTGACTGGGGTAATCGGGATGGGTGTGTCAGAGGCAGTGCGGTTGGCGCAGGTTAGAGCTGGGTTTAGGGCTGTTGTTCATAGGGTCGCTATGAGTTGCAAACGACTCGACAGCACATAACAACAACAACAACAACAACAGTGAATTGATTTGGATCTGCTGACCCAATTCAGTTGAATGCCTTGAGCACAAGCCAATCTCTAAGGTCTCTAATAGAATGTGTGGTGACTCTGTGAACAGGCCAGTTCATAGAGTCAGTGGTGAAATGGAGCTGTGCTTGGACTCAGATCTGAACGTTCACCTGCTTCTTTCCTGTTAACTTCTCTGAGTTTTAAGACACCGTGAACCCTGAAGGAGATGTTTAGAAATTAAAAGCCAGAGAGCATGAGATCTGAGAATCACCTGACTTCCCACCATTTTATAGATTTTTTTCAAATTCTTGCAGGGTCTGGCTACATTCTTAAGTAGAATTCCAAGATGTATGTGTTCCGTTGTCATTGCTACACCTTCACCTCTCCCTTCTCTATTCATCTTAATCCTTCCTCTTTATTTTAAGGTACTTTGAGTAGAATTTTCTTATTTTTCAGAGACAGTTAAGTGTATGGGAGGAGGCTGCCCATCCTTTTCCAAGGGAGAAGCTGGTAGATTAAAAACGCATGTCTTTGGATTACAGTATACCTTTTTACAACTAGGTTATCAGAGCTCCCTAAGCTTGGAGGAATCCTGTTGTAACAAAATACATTTATCTTTGCAAAACTCTAAGTTCTCTACACTTATTGTCCTGCAAACTCTTTCCCTCAAAAGTGTCTTTGTTGCTGTTTGTTGTTGTTGTGAGCCTTCAAGTCAGAAATTACTCACAACTGGCCCTCCAGAGGTTTTCAGAGGCTGTCAAGTGCACAGGACACTGCCCATCTTCCTCCTGCACAGAAGCTGGTGGATTCAGACTCTGCGTCTTTGGGAGGGTTAGCACAGCTATCACTGAGCCACCAGACCCCCAATGTCTCAGCAAGTTCCACCAAATCACGGGAAGTACTAGTGTGGAGAGTTGTGTATACCTGAGAGACACTGACCTAGAAGATCTCTAAAGCATCTTGAAGCTTTCAATTTTGAGTCTTTATTATTTTATTCATATTAGCCAAAGATTTAGTAGTGAATATTCATAATTGATAGGTTTTTTTGATTGCTACTTTTTGTTTTAGAAACCACAGTAACGCCTGCGGTTATGGGACTTCCCCCCCCCCAACTCTGATAATGAGAATCACATACTCTCACTAGGCAAATGCTGGCATTGAAATTTCAGTATTAGAATTTGTCTGTGGGCTGGACAGATCTTGTGATGAACTTCCTCAAGTCACAAAATCGGTAACTTGTATACATGTAGAACGCGTGCAGTCCTTCCTCCCCTCCTTGTTGGCCATCTGAGATCCAGAAAGGGAAAACTTTTTGGCCAAGGTCACAGAGCTTTTTCAACTTCATCCTCCATAAACAGTAAATGATGGCATAAATAAGTGTGTGAGTGGGAAGTATTGACTTCCGTCCTGTCTGTCCACTATTGTTTTTTATAATTAAACAAGTGCTATCATAAATTAAATAGTATCTTCATCATTATTAGCACTACAGGCTCATTCTGTCCAGGGAAGATGGAAAGGCACAGCTCTCTGCCTGCAGATAGCCATGAAGCCTGAAAATGTTAATAAAACCATCACTTCTGCCAATTAAGAGAGGAAACAAAACTGTGTTTAATTAAGGCTTCACTTGTCCCGTGTGCTTTCTCCAATTGATACCTGAAGGCCAGGAAACAAGCCTGGATCCAATTGTCTGCTGTGCTCTTCAGAAGTAGTGGACCAACTCTCTGTAAAAATGAGTCTGATTGAGTGTCAGAAAATCTAGAAAATTCTAGTTAGAAAATTCATAGGCTACTGACATTGGCTCATCTCATCTTCGGACCTTTATTTCTTCACCAGTAGAGTGATCTTTGATTCACGTATATTCATTAAACATGTTTTGAGCCTTTTCTATGTGTTGATCCCTGCTGCTCAGCACAAGGGCACAAAGATCAAGGAGGCTCTTGTCTCTGCCCTCCATAGACCTAGGGGGTCTACACAATGGAATAAGACTTGTTCAATAACCAGGTCTGTAGGAACTCAGGTAATGGAGTAATAAATTCCACACTTGAAAATTTTTTTTCCAGAAAAACAAAAGGAACATGAACAGAATTCTGATGATAAGTTAGTGAGATAAAGAAGGGATGAGGATGTACTGTGCACAAGACAATGTGTGTGAAGGTGTGAGAGTGAGACAGCACAGACCAGTAGACATGTCTGGGAATACAAGAATTTATAGTAAGTGAGTACAGCAAGAGTTCAAAGAGGAGAAGGTGAGCAGGGAGGGATGGGAAGTAAGGCAGAACAGACTCCTGGTACCTGGTAATAAAGAGTCTTACCTGCCAAGCTGATATGTTTCCATGTTATCCTGAAATTCATGGACCTGGTCAGCTCTGAAGCTATGTAACTTATGTGGTGGAGCAGGACAGCTCACTGTTCACTGGGTGTGTAACTTTTGGCAAGTTAGGTTGCCTCAATTGTAAAATAGGAGTAATAATACAATTTTTTTTTAACATTTTAACTTTTGAGTTTTCAGATAAAGTTTTTTTTCAGTTAAAGCACATTTGTTTCCCACACAGTAAATCATATATCTTGACTGCAATCCCTAAAATTTTACAGTACTTTTCTCTCTTTCTCCCTTTTCATTCAGTTCCATTTATTCTTCTCCTATGCCCCTTCCCAACTTTTGAGCCTTATTATATGGGATTTGCTACCCATTTGCTCTTGTCTATTTTGTATATTTTGTATATTTATCATTAATTGAGCAATAATACCATTTCAAAGAAATTATTAAACTTTCCTTTTGTCAATAAGTCATTTGGTTGGTAGGTTGAAAATTTCAACTATACTCATGGACCTAACAAAGACAAAGAAAGTTCAAGATATGAATGCATACATAGGTGTGGGGCTAGCCGGGTTATCCACACCAAAGAGAAATGCTATTTAGATGATATAGAATGGTATTCTACATCATTATCAGTATCCAAGAAGAAATGCAAATATAAAACAATAGCCATTATAACAAAGCACATTCATCCCTACTCTCTTGACGTTTACAAATTCTAGGTAAGGAATTGAGGATAAGCAAGAGAAACGAAGCAAATGAAAGAAAAAGTGAATTACCTAAATTATGAAAAGTAGATACTCACCCTGTTGTTAGGTCTTCTGTGTACTGGTCCAGTGAGCTCTCCTGAAAATTCTATTCAGTGACCTTAGCTGATAGTGTGCAAAATAGTCCAGGCTCACTAGCTACATTCACAAAAGTCAAGCTGAAATTTTCTGTAATGAACTTGAGGGTAGTCTCTTCCTCACAAGTATGATGCTTATTTATGTGTTTTCCATCTCACTGCCAGATTCTGTAACTACCAGATTCAAAGCATTCTCCCCAACTCCTCACCTGTAATTGCCCAAGTAGACTCCATCAGGGTTGAGCATTGGAGCAATCTTGAAGACCAGGTATTCCCGCAGGACACGGGCAATTGGGTGCTGGCTTACAAGGAAGTCGATGATACCTAGTGAAAAAGAAACATCCATGTTAACCTTAAAGTGTTTTAAGAATAAGGGAACACATTGTTCTCACTTTGACACACAGTAAGAGCTCCAACAAGTCACATCTCTTAACTGGAGATAATTTTCAAATAAATCTCTGTTTCTAAGAGACAGTTCAAGACATAAAATATTGAACACCATGGGGGAGCATGGAGAAAGCATTTGTTGGAAATGCTCTCCAATGGGCCCACTTCTGGCTAGATGCTGACACTAGAGCTGGTGATCACAGCATCTAAAAGGCCTTATGAGACCTAAATACTCATGATGCAGAAAGGCACACCAAAAAAGAGAGAAGAGAAAAGAAAAATGTGACCAATTTTCTTTGCTTTGAGAATCTGTTCCCACACTCTGGGGCCTTTTGCCACCCATGCTTTCACTTGCACCGATAACAAAAGCCACCAAAATTAAATGAGTTGAAATTTCCTCTGACCCTTCTCCCACAGCCAACTGGTCTCTAAATCCAGTTAATTCTTCCTTCTGTGAATTTATCAAACATTCTCCTTTAAAATCCCTCCTAATCCAGGCACCTTTTCCAATACAGGATTGACCTGGTTGACAGCAACCACATTTCAACATGCCTTCGCACAGGAGCCAGAATACTGTTTCAAAAATACATACTTGACCATATATCTCTCTCCTTGATGCCCTCTACAAGGAAGAGTGTGAGATAACAAACAACTCTTATCTCTTCCCCCACTCACTGCATCAATCCATCTCATCCGTGGTCTTCCTCTCCTGTGCCGTCTCTCCACCTTTCCAAGCAGCATAATGTCCTTATCCAAGAACCAGTCTCTCCTGACCTCATGGCCAAAATACGTGAGACAGAGCTTCAAAATCCTAGCCTCCAAGGAGAAACTTATTTTCACCCTCTCCAAGACAAACATATTTGATTTCATGGTACGTTGAAGACTCTTCTCCAGCACCACAATTCAAAGGCATCAATTCTGTCAATCTTAGTCATTATCCAGCTCTCTGATGCATAACAAGTAATTGCAAGTAATTGGATTAGGCACATCTTAGTCTCTACAATGGCATCTTGTTTTTCAGTACTCTGGAGAGATCACTGATAGCAAATTTCCCCAGTGTAACTCGTCTTGTCATTTCCTGACTGCTGGAACCAAGAGTGTTGATTGTGGAACCGAGCAAACTGTAACTGTTAACAACCTCAATCTCTTTTCCATCTATCATGGTGCTGCCAAATGGCCCAGTGATGAGAATCTTTGTCTTCTTGATGTTGAGATTCAATCCATACTGAAGACAACAGTCCTTGATCTTCTCCAGCAAGCACTTCAAGTCGTCTTCAGTTTCAGCAAGCAAGATTGTGTCATCTGCATGACATAGGTTGTTGATGAGTCTTCCTCCAGTCTTGATGCCACTTTCCTCCTCATAAAGCCCTGCTTCCTGAATAATCTCCAGGACACTTGAAATTTCTTCACTAGAGACTTGGAAAAAATGGGCAAAACAGAACTTTGGAGTTACATGGAATGATTGCAATGCCAGAAAGTGATAGGAAAATACAAAATGCTTCTAAATTTCATAAGGCTTGAGAAATTAATAAAAGTTTCAAAAATTAAAAAGCTGTATTGACAGTCTCTATAAAACTTGGATTAGTGTTTCTAATTCTAAGCTTAATCCCAGTTTGCCTCTTATTAACTTTATGGGTTTGGGCTTTCCTCCCAGGTCTCTGATCCACCTTGAGTTTATTTTTGTGTATGGTGTGAGATGTGGATACTGTTTTCAGCTTTCTGCATGTGGAAGTTAGTTTTGGCAGCACCATTTTTTGAAGAGGGTATCATTTCCCCAGTTGATTGCTTTGATTTTCTTGTTGGATATCAGTTGACCATATAGCTGGGTCTATTTCTGGGTTCTCAATTCTGTTCCATTGGTCTATGTGCCTGTCATTGTACCAATGCCATGCTGTTTTGGTTACTACTGCTATGTTGTAACTTTTGAGGTCAGGAAGTGCTATGCCTCACACCTCATTTTTGTTTCTCTGAAGTATTTTGCTTATTTGGGGTCTCTTGCTTCCCCAAATAAATTTGATAATTTCCTGAGGATAAAATTGATAAATGGGACCTTCTAAATCCATGTGTGTATCAAAAACTTTCTCCAACAGAGTAAAAAGAAAACCTACAGAATACCATCTCAGATAAGAGTCATATAACCAAAGTTTACAGAATACACCTGGGCCTCTACAAGAAAAGAAGAAAAAAACCCAATTACAAAATGGGCAAAAGACATGGAAAAAATTTTCACAGAGGAAGGTATTCGAATGAGAAACAGACACATGAAGAAATACTCAAAATCCTTGGTAATAAGAGAGAGAAGTGCAAATCAAAACCACAATGAGATACCATCTCATTCCAGTACTAGTGGCCATGTTTAACAGGACAATAAGTAATAAATGGTGAAAAATATGTGGCAAGAAAGGAACTCTTATACATTATTGGTGAGATTGTACAATGGTACAACCATTTGGGAAGGCAGTTTCGTGCTTCCTCAAAAAGCTGAACATTGAAATTCCATGTGACCCAGCTGGAATATACCTTGAGAAAATGAGAACTGAGACACAAATAGAGACTTGTGCACCTAATTTCATACCAGCATTATTCACCATCGCAAGAACATGAAAACAAACCAGATGTCCAACCACAAATGAACAGATGAGAAATTATGGTACATTTACACAATGGAATACTACCCGGCACGTAGGAGCAATGATTCTGTAAATTACTACCTAACTTGGGAGGGATTGAAGAGGATTATGCTGAGTAAACTAACTCAGTCCCACAAGGACAAATATTGTATAAAACCATTATTGTAGAATGAGTATAAAGATCAGGGGCAGGGGGAGGGTGGAAGCAGAGGGATGAGGATGTGCAGGGAGAGAGATGGATTAATCATGGAGTTACACAATTTGATGGCAGGAGGGTGAGAGAAATTGGAAGAATCTGGTGTGACAAAAAATGTATTAAAGTTTTGTAAATAAACTAGTAAAATAATTTAAAAAAATAAGGAAGCTGTTGACTGAGCAGGACCCTGGAAGGTATGTTTTGACAGAGATAAGAGGAAGGCAGCAGGGTAGCTAAGAGCAATTCATGTGCTCCGCAGTAGGAGCTTAGCTCTTGAAGTGAAAAATCTCTCCAGAGCATATTCCAGAGTGGCCATGACCAATGAGGAACATCTCGGGCTTTTCATTAGTCCAGAGGATCCGCTGGCAGTTGAAAGCCAGTTGGACATCATTTGCTTCTCGTCAGACAAAGCAGTAGACCAGATGCCCTAATTTATTTGTTTCTCTTCATATTAAAGCCACAGTTGGCCAGTAAACAGGCAGGGTAATGATGCCAGGCCCCCTTGTTAGGGGCTAATAATTGCTTAATCTGTCCACTAATTGACCCCAGCTCCCAGGGTGGCCCTCCATCAAGGAGCCAGCCCGCACTCAGGGCCTGACCATGCTGATGCTGCCATAGAGAATGACTTCTGGAAATGGAGTAGTAGTTCATTGTGATCCATCCTCTTTCACAGATGAACAGATTAATTGGGCTGCCAATTAGGCAGCTAATAAAAGAACAAGAGAAAACAAAGCCAGACCAGAGGCTGCCACCACTCTGAGCTCTCGCCTCCGGAGTCAGATGTAGACTAATCTCTGGGTCTGAGGTTAGATACATTTCAACAGGAATCATTTCCACAAATTAGACTTGAGGGCAGACTTTCTGCTTTGAGAGTGGGGTGAGGATAATGATAAACAAAGAGGAGGGTGAGCCAAAAACATTGCATGGGACAAGGAAATAGAGTGTGGGGTTGTATTTGAATTCTGACTAGTTGTTAGCACCTCTGATCAACATTCTCATCCTAACATGAGATAACAATACCTCATCTTGATGTGTTAGAGTGTGTGCATTTTAATGGCCATGCACAGAACCTGAAGTTGTCATACTGTTGTTGTTGTTGCTGTTAAGTGTCACTGACTCAGGTATGACGTATAACAACCCAATGTACAACAGAATGAAACTCTGCCCAATCCTCTATCATGCTCACATCTATCAGTGCAAATTTTGATATGCATTGATAAATTCTCTTAAATCAGAGGTTAAAGGTAATGAGGGTAGGAGGGAAGACTGGTTGTGGAGTTTATTGTTCAAAATGGCTTTCCCAGCCATTGAATTTGACTTTGCCATATGGATGGGTGGGAAAATATGAACAGACTATGTATGGCAGCCTATCCACAAAGGGATTGGATAGTCTCACCAATCCACAAGCGGATTGGCTATCCTTGACATTATGTTGAATGGATCCAATAGCAGGGGGGAAAAAACTCCAACAAAGTACCCTGCCAGCAAAGAAAAAGCAAGAAACTGTAGCACTTGCTTCTGGTCTAGAAATTCTTGTGCTAATTATACCTATCACAGAAGCAGCCATGACTGGAGCAGAGGACCAGACACAAGATGGAGCTGCCCTTGGGACTGTTACTCTCCATGGAACCAGAGCTAAGAGCCTTTGCCCAAGTTTGTTGGACAACTGGAGGATTGAAGAGGAGGATGGGAGTGAGTAGAGCCGTAATTGTTGGCAGGGCTGAGAACTTTGTAACACTGACTTAAAACTGTGGTAACTTAAGACTGAGGTGTCTGTGGGCACATTTCAGAAGCTGTCCTGGCTTAGTGACTGTATCCAGTTATAAATCTGGACAATAATCTCTTTAACTTTCCCAATATGATTCTGTGTGGTCTGTGAGCTATCACTTTGGATTTTGGACCCAATAAAGCAGCAATATTTGTATTGAGTAAGTAGAAAGAGGTAAGGACCAAGGAAGACATATCTGATCTCATGAGAATGGGTTTTGTGTTTTTGATGCTGTTAATAGGGACAGTTCCCCTTTGTGAAGTTGGTCAAGGTCAGATATGGCTGTCCCCACACCGTCCTGCTCTTCTGACATTGGTTTTAAAACTAATGAGGAGTCTTGGTC